TGGGTTGAAATAATAGCACAAAGTTTTTGACAGAGTGCGATAGCACCTGTCACTTGAGTGGATCACTATTGTTTATTGCAGTGTTCACAGATAGAGTGCATTCACAATTTAGAATTTATTAATAATTTTTTTTTTTTTTCTCCTCTTCACATGTGTTATGCACAAGTTAAGTGTTTGGTGTGATTCACGATGAATGGCACATTTTGTATTTCTTTTTTATAAGGATATCACACTATGTTGAGCCGTTTTGTTTTTTGAGGTATATGAATATTGGACACTTCACGAAGATTGGAAATACGAGAGACATTTATCCTGGAGAAAAAAGGACTATAGTTTTTGGAATTGCACTTGTGGTGATCTAGGACAAGGGGGACATTTATTTATGATTCTCTTTTCAAATTTATTAATGTAATTTGTGAAAGAAAAAGACTTTATAATTTTTTATTACATTAAGGCCGATCAATTAAATTATTGGGACTCCAATGTAAAAAAAAAAGTGCCCCTATTATTGGACCTCACAAAATCTTTGCCGCAATGCACTGTGGTGTACTGCCATGCATAGCATCCCATATGAACATATAAGAAAAATATATTTGAGATATATTTTAAAAATATTCTTGCCAAATATATTGAGATATATTTGAATTGCTACAATTCTGGCCATATTTTAATATATTTCAAGATAAATTTCAATAAATATATATATATATATATATATATATATATATACACTGCATGTTGAAATGCGTTTTTAATACAAAATATATGTAAAATATTTTTAAAAATACATTTCAAATATACTGTATATCTTTAAAAATACAAATCTACATTTTTGGAATTTACAGATATATGTTAAAATCCAGACACAGTGGAACACCGATCGTCGTACGGGTCCTGATCATGTGATCACTGATTGGCCAATCAGTGATCACATGAATAGTAGTAAGCAAGATGTCACTTCTGACATCATTGCTTACTACATGTGAAATCTGTGAATGATCACAGAGATTACATGGTACAAGGCTATTAACAACAGCCTTGTACCATGTGACAAGCTATGACCAATCACAGCTCACACAGTAGTTCTCAATGGCTGCAAGAATGCAGCCAGAGAGAAGGAGAAATGATTGCTTTTACAGCCTTTATGGGTGTCAAAGCAATCAGTGTAAAAAAAAAAAATCTTCATCACCCCCTACAAGTAGTACAGTGTCACCATGGTGACACTGTACTGCTAGGGTGACAGTATGTAAAAAAACCCATAAATAGTAATATAGAAAAAAATAAAAATGTAAAAAAAAAGTTTAAAAATTAAAATTTTTGGTTATAAACTAATTTGTGTTATTTTTTTTTTCTACTAAAAAGATAATGGAATACATTTTGGCCAAGATTTATGATGAAATATTATTTATTTGCAAAATTTTATAAGAAAAACACTTTTTTTTCAAAATTTTGGGACTTTTTCATTTACATAGCAAAAAAAATAAAAATCCCAGTGGTGAATAAATACCACCAAAATAAAGCTTTATCTGTCTCAAAAAAAGCTATAAAAATTCATATGGGTACAGTGTTGCATGACTGCGCAATTGTCATTCAAAGTGTGATAGCACTGAAAGCTGAAAATTGGCCTGGACAGGAAGGGGGGGACTTGAAGTGGTTAAAAAAAATCTGAAGAAAATATTATAAAAAAAATATATTTTTAAAAATATTTTTCAGATATTTTGTAATATACTAAAAATGCATTTCAACATGTGTATATATATATATATATATATATATATATATATATATTTATAATATATATATATATATTATATATATATATATTTTTTTTTTCTTTAAATATATTGAACATGGCCAAAATTGTAGCATTTAAAAAATATGTCAATATATTTGGGTAAAATATTTTAAAATTATATTTCAAATATATATTTCTTCCATGTGGGATGGGTTGCACTATATGTATGTTGGGATGCTATTCAAAATGAATGGCACTGCTATGTGTCAATGCACACTATGTTGTGCACTATATGTGTCAATGCACACTATATTACTATAGCGCTCTTAATGATTTTGAGTAACAGGGTGCTGCGCTACTAAGTGGCAGATAAGTGGAAAAATGAATAAATCACATAAACAAAGTAAAAAATGAATCTAATAACACTCAACCATGTGTGAGCATGACATAAATGTGTATGGTGGTGCAAACAAATGCCAAGTGAGAGTGCCAGCCGCAGGAAATGGCTATGAAGTGTTGGTGATTCAGGGTGAACAAAAGCAATAGCTTTTAGCAAAAAGTGACTCAATCGCAAAATCGAGGACCAAATAAACTACATGAGTGACAATGCCAGCCGCAAGAAAAAAACGACTATGAAATACTAGTGACACATGTGAATAGGTCAAATGGCTGATAATGTAAAAAAAATGATGACTCAGTCCCAATAATAATAATGGATGAGTGATTCAATCCAGAAAACTCAAAAAGTGACTTAGTGCCCCAAAAAAAAAAAGTTTATAGTGAAAAATATATAAAAATATAAAGAAATAAAATCCTAAAAATCAGAAGAAAAAGCAGTGAATCTTCAGTGCATGCGTGACAAATCCAGTGCTGCAAACGTATATTTGGAAGATACCTTAATGATTTTATATTGGGGCTCCATCACACATGTGGCTAACCTGTTACATTGCCCTGAATAGGCAAATTGTAGCTGTAAAAGGACGGGGCTCTTTTCTATATTTTTAGTACATGGGGTATCAGTGTCGTCCTTAATCAACCCCAGCTCAGAAAACTCCGAAGCAATTAGCACATTGGAAGTCTGTAAGCTATCTGAAGTAATAATAGCAATATGAATTTAGAACAAACATCAAAACATATCAGAGGTCTTGAAAACTATCTCGGCATCCGTAACCTTTCATTCTTTGTTGGCTACACAATGCAGCCCTGGATTCACACTGAGACTTTCAGAAAGGAACAGATCTGATTACAATGGGATTTATTCAGAGAGATCTCTCATGAGAGATATAATGGCGTAAATTAGCAGTTATACAGCACAGGCACACACTACTCACATTATTGATGGAGAGGCTTTCAAAACCCCCATCTATTCAAATGCAATTAAAGGAACTCGGCTTATCCAATGAGAAGGATTTGCCTTTTCCTTAATCACATTTTTATTTATGAGTTTGCACTTTGATTATTTCATAGGCTGAGATTTAGCTAATGGACACTTTGCGAACCCCTGTTTTATTCTATTGACAGCTTAGGGCTGAAATATATATATACACATATATATACACACTTCTCACCAGGCTGCTTGGAGATAGTTTGATAGCCCAGTCCAGCCGTGTGTAGGTCTACAATCTTGTCCCTGACATCCTTGGACAGCTCTTTGGTCTTTGCCATGGTGGAGAGTTTGTAATCTCATTGATTGCTCCTGTGGACAGGTGTCTTTCATACAGGTAACAAAATGAGATTAGCAGCACTCCCTTTAAGAGACTTCTTCTAATCTCAGTTTGTTACCTGTATGAAAGACACCTGGAAGCCAGAAATCCTGCTGAATGATAGGGGATCAAATACTTATTTCCCTCATGAACATGCAAATCAGTATTGATGCATTTAGATTACATTCAGTTGTTTTAAACTGAAAGTTCAATTGGGCTTTAAAAAGACCATGGCAAGTCCTCTAACAAGGCAAAAGGCCAGGTCCTTGCAAGAGGAGAAGTATTATAATGACCACTCTTGCAGCCCTTGACAGATTCCTCCCTCCATCACTGTCATTAGTATTTGACACTTCCGGGAGGGTCAGATGCCTGTGTAGCCTACACACACATTAATGTTCATTGAGAACATTTTCTGTGATCTTATTGAATGGGCTGCCAACGCTCTACTAAGTACAACAAACTGGACCTTATTTTTTTCCACACAGTGCACAAAGGGGTGCATTTACCACAAGGCAAACAAGGCATTTGCCTAGGGTGGCATTTGGAAGAAGGGACACATGCGGCATGGGGACCAGGTGGGATCCGAGAGAGGTTGTGGGCTGCTTGATGGTATATGGAGAGCCCGACTCTCATTCCCGGGATGTCCAGAGCTGTGAAGGTGAGTGTCTTTCTCTCTCAACATGGGGGATAGTGGCTAGTGTATGGGGGGGGCAGTGGTAGCTGAAGGTGTATGGATAGCCCAATACTTGTTCCCGAGGACGTCTGGAGCTGTGAAGGTGAGTGTCTTTCTCTCCCACCATGGGGGATGGTGGCTGGTGTATGGGGGGGCAGTGGTAGTAGAAGGTGTATGGATAGCCCAATCCTTGTTCCCGAGGATGTCTGGAGCTGTAAAGGTGAGTGTCTTTCTCTCCCACCATGGGGGATGGTGGCTGTTGTATGGGGGGGCAGTGGTAGTAGAAGGTGTATGGATAGCCTGATCCTTGTTCCCAAGGAGCTGTGAAGCTGAGTGTCTTTTTCTCTTGTGCCGGGGGTGGGTGTTAGTGGAAGGCTCTTTCGGGTGGGCAGGGGTGTTGTTGGTCAATGTCAGGCTCTCTCTGTGGGGGGGCGCCCAATTTTTGTATTGCCTAGGGCAGCACAAAACCTAAATACACCACTTAGTGCACATATGTTTGAACCTTTTGTAGTTGTGTGTTGGGGTACCATTGTAAATAATTAGCCACACAATGCACCACAGAAATTAATATTCATTAACTTGTATTGAGGCTCTTTGGAAAAACACACCCACCGTGCACCACGGCCACCAAAAATGTTCCCAGTCTTCGCATTTTTCTTTCAGGTGTATTCACTTCAAAGGATTACATGCGCCTTCTCTCTCTCATTGTCAGGAATGGACTCAGCACTGGTGGTGGGACTCACCTGCCGTGTGGGCTGCAGTACCAGGGCTGACCAGCGGGTGCTCTCAGCAGCCAGAAGCTCACTCCAGGCAATCAGCCAACACCTGGGGGCTGATTGCAGGGGGTGTATTTAAGGGATGGCCAGACCTGCAGTCTCTGCCTTGGTGTATGCTTTCCCATGAGCCTGGTATCCTGTGTTCCTGCCTCGTTGCTGACCCTGCTTGATCCTGACCTCTGCTGACCATCTCCTGTTGAACCCCTGGCTTGCCTGACCATCCTTCTGCCTGATCCCCTGTACCTCGCTGTCCGTGAGTTACTGAACCCGGCTTGTGACCCTGACTTTTCTCTGCCTGCTCCCCCTGTACCACGCTGCCCGCACGATACCGACCCGGCTAGTCTGACCTCGCCTACTCCTGACAGTCGCCCATCCATCCCGCTCGGATCGGGATCTGTCATCCCATGCATCACGCTCGGATCGGGATCTGTCATCCCATCCATCCCGCTCGGATCAGGATCTGTCATCCCATCCATCCCGCTCGGATCGGGATCTGTCATCCCCTTCACAGCAGGCTCAACCCGGGCACATACCCTCAGCGGGACCCCTCTGCCACCGCCGGGGGTGCCCAGGAACGCGACCTGGTTTCAGTCTTGCACCAAGTCCATCCCCACCATCAGGGGCCCTGGTGAAAAGGCAGACTGGGACTTAGACTCCGCGTCCTGGGAAACCCCGTGCCGTGGACCACTAGAGATCCCGTTGGGCGGAGCCTGACAGTACCTTGCGGCCTGCCTGACCATTCCACCTCTCCAGCCCTGACTACGCCTGTGTTCCTGAAGCCTGCTACTTCCCTGTGTCAGTCCACACATTTCTGGTCACACCCGGATCCCTAACACTCATATATATATATATATATATATATATATACATATATATATATATATATATATATATATATATATATACACAGTGGGGATCGAAAGTTTGGGCACCCCAGCTAAAAATTTGTATTAATGTGCATAAAGAAGCCAAGGAAAGATGGAAAAAATCTCCAAAAGGCATCAAATTACAGATTAGACATTCTTATAATATGTCAACAAAAGTTAGATTTTATTTCCATCATTTACACTTTCAAAATAACAGAAAAAAAAAAATGGCATCTGCAAAAGTTTGAGCACCCTGCAGAATTTATAGCATTCACTGCCCCCTTTGCAAAGCTGAGACCTGCCAGTGTCATGGATTGTTCTCAATCATCCTCTGGGAAGACCAGGTGATGTCAATCTCAAAGGTTTTAAATGCCCAGACTCATCTGACCTTGCCCCAACAATCAGCACCATGGGTTCTTCTAAGCAGTTGTCTAGAAAACTGAAACTGAAAATAGTTGACGCTCACAAAGCTGGAGAAGGCTATAAAAAGCGTTTTCAGATGTCAATATCCTCTGTTCGGAATGTAATTAAGAAATGGCAGTCATCAGGAACAGTGGAAGTTAAAGCAAGATCTGGAAGACCAAGAAAAATATCAGCCAGAACAGCTCGCAGGATTGTGAGAAAAACAATTCAAAACCCACGTTTGACTGCACGATCCCTCCAGAAAGATCTGGCAGACACTGGAGTTGTGGTACACTATTCCATATAAAGAGATACTTGTAAAAATATGGTCTTCATGGAAGAGTCATCAGTAGAAAACCTCTTCTACGTCCTCAACACAAAAATCATCGTTTGAACTTTGCAAATGAACATATAGACAAGCCTGATGCATTTTGGAAACAAGTTCTGTGGACCGATGAGGTTAAAATTGAACTTTTTGGCCGGAATGAGCAAAGGTACGTTTGGAGAAGAAGGGGCACAGAATTTAATGAAAAGAACCTCTGTCCAACTGTTAAGCATGGGGTTGGATCAATCATGCTTTGGGGTTGTGTTGCAGCCAGTGGCACAGGGAACATCTCACGAGTAGAAGGAAAAATGGATTCAATAAAATTTCACCAAATTTTGGATGGTAACTTGATGCCATCTGTGAAAAAGCTGAAGTTAAAGAGAGGATGGCTTCTACAAATGGATAATGATCCTAAACACACCTCGAAATCCACGGGGGATTACATCAAGAGGCGTAAACTGAAGGTTTTGCCATGGCCTTCACAATCTCCTGACCTCAACATAATTGAAAATCTATGGATAGACCTTAAAAGAGCAGTGCGTTACAGACAGCCCAGAAATCTCAAAGAACTGGAAGACTTTTGTAAGGAAGAATGGGCAAAGATACCTCAAACAAGAATTGAAAGACTCTTGGCTGGCTACAAAAAGCGTTTACAAGCTGTGATACTTGCCAAAGGGGGCAGTACAAGATATTAACTCTGCAGGGTGCCCAAACTTTTGAAGACGCCATTTTTTTTTGTTTTCTGTTATTTTGAAAGTGTAAATGATGGAAATAAAATCTAACTTTTGTTGACATATTAAATTTATAAGAATGTCTAATCTGTAATTTGATGCCTTTTGGAGATTTTTCCATCTTTCCTTGGCTTCTTTATGCACATTAATACAAATTTTTAGCTGAGGTGCCCAAACTTTCGATCCCCACTGTATATATATACATACATATATACAGAATGTATACACACTGTAGGTTGTATGTGAAATATCGCCTTCAAAACAGCGCAGCAAAAAAAAGCTGAACACCACGAAAAAGAAACTATTTCAAGTAAAGGTTAAAATAATTGCACAATTCGCATACTAACTCGGCGTACTGGGTGTAATAGCAGAGGTTGCCTGGCTGGATTATCTCCTTTTACAGATACATTGCAGTTTCTTTTTTTAAAAGTTCCAATTGAATGTAAGTGTAAGCAAACAGATAAATACACACTTGATCTACAAGTGTGACCAGTCTTACCTGCCAAAAACTGTCATTCTATACAGCTCGTTCTAATCCAGACACCATGCCAAACATCCCTAACCTTCTGCTTTTTCTCCATTGCCCTCAGAGCAATACAACTTAGTCAAGCCTGTGATTGGACGGTAAAGGAGCAGCGGTTCTCTCCACCGATCAGCAAGCACCGTTGGTTAGACGAGCACTAACCAAGCAATAAAACCTAAATGGTTTAACTCCCAGCTCCTCCAGTCATAAAGCCAGAGTTCAGGTGACCACAGGAGTCTAGCACAACCACAGATTAACCACTTGAGCTCCTGAGGATTTACCCCCCTTAATGACCAGGCCTCTTTTTGCTACTCGGCGCTGCACTAATTCAACTGATAATTGCGCGGTCATGCAATGCTGCACCCAAACGAAATTTACGTCCTTTTTTTTCACACAAATAGAGCTTTCTTTTGGTGTAATTTGATCACCTGTGCGCTTTTTATTTTTCACGCTATAAAACAAAAAAATGCCAAAAATTTTGAAGAAAAACAATATTTTTTACTTTCAGCTATAAAAATATATAGTAAACTCAAAGTTGGTTATAAATTCAGGCCAAAATGTATTCTGCTCCATGTTTTTGGTAAAAAAAAAATCCCAATAAGTGTATATTGATTGCTTTGTGTGGAAGTTATAGCATCTACAAACTATGGTATAAATACTGCAACGTACGCCATTTTTCTGCAATACAGCGCTGCGCTAGTTTAACGGACAATTGCACGGTCATGCAATACGGTACATAAATGAAATTCACATCCTTTTTTCCCCCACAAATTGAGCTTTCTTTTGGTGGTATTTGATTGCCTGTGCGGTTTTTATTTTTTGCGCTATAAAAAAAGGCTGACAATTTTGAGGACAAAAAACATTATTTTGGACTTTTTGCTATAAAACATGTCCAGTAAAAAAAAATGCAAAAATCAAATTTAGTCATAAATTTCTGCCAAAATGCATTCTGCGACATGTCTTTGCTAAAAAAAAAACCCCAATACGTGTAAATTAATTGGTTTACGTGAAAGTTATAGCGTTTACAAATGGCGGGAAAGATACTGGGATTTTTTTTTTTTTATACTAATAATGGCGGCGATCAGCGACTTATGGCGGCGATCAGTGACTTATGGCAGCGACCAGCGACTTATGGCGGGACTGCGGCGGACATTCTGACATTGGGGGGTACTGACTTGGGGTCACTGACATCCCCAAAAACACTAATACAGTGATCAGTGCAAAAAAAAAAAAACACGGACACTGTACTAATGGCACTGGGGAGGAAGGGGTTAACTTTATTTTGCAGGGAAGGGTTATCTGAGTGAGGGGGGAGTGTTTTACTAGGGGGCGGGGGTGTGTACTGGACGGGACAAGGCTGATCGAGAGAGAGAAACTCTTCTTTCTCGATCAGCTCGTCCTCGAGCTTTCAGGGAAGTGACAGACAGCACAGCTACTGCAGCTGTACTGTCTGTCACTGTTTGCCGCCGCCGATCGCGGGAAACAGCCGGTAAAGACCGGCTGTGACCCGGCGACTGACATCCGCGGCGGTGATCGGCGGGATAGATATTGGGGCGGTGACGCGCCTCGCGCGCGCCCCCTACCTGTTTACAAAACACGCGTTTTTTTAAAATGTGGTTTTGCCTGCCAGTGCCGCCCTGCCGCCGTATTTCTACAGTGGCAGGGCGGCAAGTGGTTAAAGTACTATTTAAATTATATTTTTAAAAAAATTACATTTAGGGCTCATGTACAAAGCAGGGATGAGAAAACTGAGAGATCTCTTAGTAAAATCAGCACACTTTACACATATTACACACAGTTAGGCACATATTTAACCCCTTGATCACCCCTAGATGTTAACCCCTTCCCAGCCAGTGCCATTAGTACAGTGACAGTGTATAGTATTATCGCAAAAAATAAAAAGCCCAGTAGTGCTCAAATCCCACCAGCTCTATTTGTGTGAAAAATAAATTATATAAATTTTGTTTAGGTACAACGTTGCATGAATGTGCATTTACCAGTTAAAGTAGCTCAGTACCGAACAGCAAAAAATAGCCTGGTCATGAAGGGGGTAAAATCTTCCGGAGCTGAAGTGGTTGATGCTAAATATTCCACATTTTGGAATAGATGGAGCTAATGATACAAGAATTAGTCTATTAGAAAAACAAGAGAAACTTGATCAGTTTTCACGAATGCTTTTGACATTTTGCCAAGTAATATTTTATAAATAGATCCCTTAAAGTAGGTTGAGACCCTTCATGGATAACATTTGGTTTTCTTAACCATTGTGTATGATTTTTTTTTCAGTCTGTATATCCAGTAAAGCATGCTTGTTATACTCACTGTGGAACCTAAGGGGTTACCCCTCTGCATTGTGTAAAAATGCTGTTTGATCCTGACTTCTCTGATCCTCCTCTTGTTCAAATGTCCACCTGATAAGACAGACTGAACCGTTAGCCACAGGCACATGCTCAATTTGGTGTGTATCCCTAGAGAGGTTTTTTTTTTTTCTTAGGAGAGTCCATGTGATCAACACAGGGCCAATCAGCACTGTCCAGACAGAGGTAAGGGTTTTTTTTGCATCCTCCTAAAACAGAAAGAAAACTCCTCCTACAAGCTTTAGGCTAGGTTCACACCTATGTAGGTCGCGTTTCAGCCATTTCTGCATTTTTTTGTGTTGCGTTTTTGTGCCTGCGTTTTTGATGGTTTTTTTTGTGTTTGTGTTTTGCTGGGGTTTTTTTTATTTTTTCAAACGCTGCAGAAACCGCAGAGGTGTGAACCTAGGGTTAACCAGTCCAGACAAGTGTCAGAGGTTTCACTGCCTCCTAGAGCAGAAAGAAAACTCCTCCCACAAGCTTTAACCAGTGCTCTGCTGAAGTCACAAAATTGCTCTAACTGCTGATGAGAAATGGGATTTATTTTAGCAGTTTATATTTACTACAATAATTGCATTTCCATGATGGGTGTACTGTGGGAGACCAGATCTAGTGAATGCAGGGTCCTGGGTTTAGGAACACTTTAAAATGTCAAACAATTTAGTTTCTATCTACTTTTAAGGTTTTTTTTTTACAAAATATATAAGTAGATTAAAAAGTGGCTTTTTCATCTCTGCCTGAATTTATCGTAATGTAAACAGCACAGAGCAGTCCAGATAATGAACCCAGCCTGGGAATTAGACAGCAGTGTGTTGTCACTGGCAGATAAAGCAGGAAGCATTGGACCGAGGTGTTCCCCTTAGAATAACACAGGCTAAAGTACAGGGATGTCTTATACAACACATTCTTGTGGTCACAGTACAATTACACATTGCCCTTTTCTGTGTGATCAGCAACACCAACAACCATGGGCCAGCAAAGGGTGCTACCTGGGGACTTTAACCATTTCAAGTCCGGACACTTTTACCCCCTTCCTGTCCAGGCCAATTTTCAGCTTTCAGCGCTATTACATTTTAAATGACAATTGCGCGGTTATGCAACACTGGACCCATATGAATTTTATGAGACAGATAAAACTTTATTTTGGTGGTATTTATTCACCGCTGGGATTTTTTATTTTTTTTTTGCTATGTTAATAAAAAAGTCCAAATTTTTTTTTTTAAAAAAGTGTTTTTGCAAATAAATAATTATCTTTCTTCATAAATCTTGGCCAAAATGTATTCAGCTATCTTTTTAGTACAAATAAATAACCCAAATTAGTTTATAACCAAAAATTATAATTTTCAAAAATTTGTTTTCCATTTTAAATTTTTTTTTATATTATTATTATTTTTTTAACAGGCTGTCACCCTAGCAGTACAGTGTCACCATAGTGACACTGTACTACTTGTGGGGGGTGATGAAGGTTTTTTAATTTTTTTTTACACTGATTGCTTTTATACCCATAAAAGGCTGTAAAAGCAATAATTTCTTCTCTCTGGTTGCATTCTTTGCAGCCACTGAGAAATACTGTGAGAGTCGTTATTGGTCACAGCTTGTCACATGGTACAAGGCTGTTGTGAATAACCTTGTACCATGTCATCTCTGTGATCATTCACAGATTTTACAAGTAGTGAGCAATGATGTCAGAAGTGGCATCTTAGTTACTACTGTTCATGTGATCAATGATTGGCCAATCAGTGATCACATGATCGGGACCTTACACAGAGGTCCCGTACCGGATTGCTCACTCCCCTAGCCCCTAGTTTCTTTTTTTAAAGGGGTCTATCCTAAGAAGTTTAGACACAGAGAAAAAGTGTCCTCTGATTATTACACCACAGTCTGGAGTATCCCACCAATCCCTGCACCAAGGGATGTATTTACCACAAGGCAAACAAGGCATTTGTTTGCCTAGGGTGGCATTGTTCAGGGGGAGGGGCAGCATTTCCCCATGGAAGAAGGGACACACGCGGCATGGGGACCTGGTGGGTTCCGGAGAGAGGCTGCGGGTTTCATGACGGCGTATGCACAGCCGGACTCTCGTTCCCAGGGATGTCCAGAGCTGTGAAGGTGAGTGTCTTTCTCTCTCACCATGGGGGATGGTGGCTGGTGTATGGGGGGCAGTGGTAGGCTCTCTTGGGTGGGAGGCAGGGGTGATGTTGGTCAATGTCAGGCTCTTTCTGCGGGGGGGGGGGGGCGCTAATTTTTGTGTTGCCTAGGGTAGCACAACACCTAAATACACCACTGCCTACACCCCAACTAAGTTAAACTTGTACTAAAGCATCACAAGACACCCCAAGTCTGATCACTGAGCCATGAGATTATCTGTGCTGCTGTGTGCCTAGCTGCTTCCACACCAAATGGGGAAGAGAACCAGGTACAAACTAACGGGCCGTCAGGGGGCTAGCACTACATATATTTAAAAAATGATTACAAATTATTAATTTGCTTAAAAAGTAATTCCACTTTTGCTGAGAAAAAAAAAAAATTCCCTCTGGGTAGTCTACGTATATTGTAAGGATTTGGACAAACTTTGCTGCAGGTTGCTACCTTACGTTCTTCTGGAGAAATATCTGTCTGTGTCCATGTGCAAAGTGAATCTGTATGGGAGTGGTTTCAGAATTATTAATCCCCTGCAGGGCTGTAATGAAGAAATTGGCACGGTCTGCAGCCCTTCAGATGTGATTTCCCTTTGAGAGTATCTCACCAAAAATGACAATTTTGTTGCAGGGGATGCCAAAAATCTGTTTTGTATCATACTGCCCCCTCCTTCCTAGATTGTAAACTCCAAGGAGCAGCGCCCTCTAATCCCTCTTGTATTGAACTGTATTGTTACTGTACTATCTCCCTTTATAATGTAAAGCGCTGAGCAAACTGTCGGCGCTACAGTTGCAAGAAAAAGTATGTGAACCCCTTGGGATTACGTGGAGTTTTGCATGAATTGGGCATAAAATGTGCATCTAAGTCACAACAATAGAAGAACACAGTCTGCTGAACATAATACTACACAAACATTAGATGTTGCCATGGTTTAATTGCACATAACATGTAAACATTCACAGTGCAGGGAGGAAAAAGTATGTGAGGCCCTAGCTTAGTGACTTCTCCCAGAGCTAATTGGAGCCAGGAGTGAGCCAACCTTGACTCCAATCAGTGTGATTATATATGATGATGTTGCTGACAGCTGTCCTGCCCTTAAAAAAACACACACCTGTTTTGGGTTTACTGGTTTCAAGAAGCACTGTCTGATGTGAACCATGCCTCGCAGAAAAGAGCTCTCAGAAGACCTACGATCAATAATTGTTGACTTGCATGAAGCTGGAAAGGGTTACAAAAGTATCTCCAAAAGCCTTGATGTTCATGTGTCCACGGTAAGACAGACTGTCTACAAATGGAGAAAGTTTAGCACTGTTGCTACTCTCCCTAGGCGTGGTCGTCCTGTAAAAATTACTGCAAGAGCACAGCGCAGAATGCTGCATGAGGTAAAGAAGAATCCCAGAGTGTCAGCTTAAAGACCTACAGAAATCTCTGGCACATGCTAACATTTTTGTTGACACATCTACAATAAAGAAAACATTAAACAAGAATGGAGTACATGGGAGGACACCACGAAGGAAGCCATTGCTGTCCAAAAAGAATATTGAAGCACGTTTGAAGTTTGCAAAAGAGCACCTGGATGTTCCACAGCACTACTGGCAAAATATACTGTGGACAGATGAAACCAAGATTGAGTTGTTTGGGAAGAACACACAACACTATGTGTGGAGAAAAAAAGGCACAGCACACCAACATCAAAACCTCATCCCCACTGTAAAACATGGCGGAGGGAGCATCATGGTTTGGGGCTGCTTTGCTGCCTCAGGGCCTGGACGGATTGTTGTCATTGATGGAAAAATTAATTTCAGAGTTTATCAAGACATTTTACAGGAAAACGTACGACCATCTGTCCGCCAACTGAAGCTCCGCAAAGGATGGGTGATGCAACAGGACAATGACCCAAAACATACAAGTAATTCAACAAAACAATGGCTGCAACAGCACAGAATACGCCTTCTGGAGTGGCCCAGTCAGAGTCCTGACCTCAACCCGATTGAAATGCTGTGGCATGACCTTAAGAGAGCGATTCACACCAGACATCCCAAGAATATTGCTACACTGAAACAGTTTTGTGAAGAGGAGTGGTCCAAAATTACTCCAGATCGTTGTGCAGGTCTGATCTGCAACTACAGGAAACGTTTGGTTGAGGTTATTGCTGCCAAAGGAGGGTCAACCAGTTATTAAGTCCAAAGGTTCACATACTTTTTCCTCCCTGCACTGTGAATGTTTACATTTTATGTGCAATTAAACCATGGCAACATCTAATGTTTGTGTAGTATTATATTCAGCAGACTGTTCAGAGCACATTTTATGCCCAATTCATGCAAAACTCCACGTAATCCCAAGGGGTTCACATACTTTTTCTTGCAACTGTATATAAGTCCTGTATAATAATAATAATACTGCAGATGTCTGGGAAAATCAGTTAGCCAATCACACAAGCAGGAAATGACATTTTCAGGGGTCATTCTTTACACGACCTGTGTACCAGGGACATAATCCCTAGGGTTGGTGTCACCCAGTGTGGTAACACTTGGTGTCACCCCTCCGACAATCTACACAGGAAGGATCGGATCTGTGGATTTCACATAATGGATCGGAGTCCGATCCATTATGCTCTCCAATCCGCAGATCTGATCCATCCTGCGGGGATCGTCAGCTTGCAACCTATACGGGGTTAACTGATCTCTCCACGAGCTCCACGAAAAGGTAAGTTTTAAAGCAAGAGAACGATCCTTGCAGGATGGATCGGATCTGCAGATTGGGGAGCATAATGGATTGGACTCCGATCCATTATGCTCAATCTGCAGATCCGATCCATCCTGCAGGGATTGTCGGCTTGCTTTAAAACTTACCTTTTTGTGGAGAAGGTCCGGTGTTACCCCGTACATTAAGTGTCACCCAGTGCGGCGTGCACACCCCCCCGCTCTTGCTTAGGGACACCACTGCTGTGTACAGAACACCTCCAGGTTGCCAAATTGCATTGCATTTTACAGAAAATGACAGCACTGCAGATTGAAAAGGAAAAGTAATTTTTAATAACATTCAATTACAATAGGACTTGAGTCGCAACCGTATACGCTATTTTATTAATTTTTCCCACAAAAGTGGAGTTACCCTTTAAATTTTTTTTTTTTTTTTTTTTTATTGAGTTAACATATTAAAGGTGAAACAGACATTCAGGACTGCATAACAACTACTACTGTACATTCTTTAGCTCCTAATCTGCATGTTGCTTAGAAGCTGAAATGTGTTTGCCACTTCATTACTTTAGGCACAATAGCATAATGCATTTAAAAAGCATTTTTACTGTTTTGACAAAACAAATGTAAGCGTTATTAATTAACTAATATGCCCAGGGCAAAAACATGCGAGGCTGTTATCTGAAAGCTGCATATTGCAGAGAGGGCTGCATATGCTTTCTTGACAGCCTGGATGGAAATTTGAAGCTATGCTTCTAAAGCTGTTTAACCCCGAGTATCACTGGGGATTCGG